TTTGGGTTTTTTTTAATATATATATTTTTATTCATATATATTTTTTAGAGATTTAATTTATTTATTCATGAGACACACACACACACAGAGAGAGAGAGAGAGAGAGAGAGAGAGAGAGAGAGAGAGAGGCAGAGGCACAGGCAGAGGGAGAAGCAGGCTCCATGCAGGGAGCCCGACGTGGGACTCGATCCCGGGACTCCAGGATCACACACCAGCTGAAGGCAGTGCTAAACCACTGGGCCACTGGGGCTGCCCTTTTTTGTATATTTTTTTATAGGAGTTCGATTTGCCAACATATAGCATATCACCCAGTGCTCATCCTGTCAAGTGCCCCCCTCAGTGCCCGTCACCCAGTCACCCCAACCCCCTGCCCACCTCCCCTTCCACCACCCCTAGTTCATTTCCCAGAGTTAGGAGTCTCTCATGTTCTGTCTCCTTCTCTGATATTTCCCACTCATTTTCTCTCCTTTCCCCTTTATTCCCTTTCACCATTTTTTATATTCCCCAAATGAATGAGACCATATAATGTTTGTCCTTCTCCAAAGGAGCCTCGGCGTCCATCGAAAGATGAATGGATAAAGAAGATGTGGTCTCTGTATACAATGGGGTATTACTCAGCCATTAGAAACGACAAATACCCACCATTTGCTTCGACGTGGATGGAACTGGAGGGTATTATGCTGAGTGAAGTAAGTCAATCGGAGAAGGACAAACATTATATGGTCTCATTCATTTGGGGAATATAAAAAATGGTGAAAGGGAATAAAGGGGAAAGGAGAGAAAATGAGTGGGAAGTATCAGAGAAGGAGACAGAACATGAGAGACTCCTAACTCTGGGAAATGAACTAGGGGTGGTGGAAGGGGAGGTGGGCGGGGGGCTGGGGTGACTGGGTGACGGGCACTGAGGGGGGCACTGGACGGGATGAGCACTGGGTGTTATGCTATATGTTGGCAAATCGAACTCCGATAAAAAAATAATTAAAAAATAAAAAAAAATAAAAATAGAACTGCCCTACGACCCAGCAATTGCACTGCTGGGGACTTACCCCAAAGATACAGACAGTGAAACGCCAGGACACCTGCACCCCAATGTCTATAGCAGCAACGTCCACAATAGCCAGACTGTGGAAGGAGCCTCTTATTTTTAGACAATGGGTTTGAGGCGACAGCAGGGTCATGGTGACTGCAAAGATGAAGAGATAGAACTCGATTTCCTTCAATTCCGTCACTTTCTGTGACCATTTGGAGTCATAATTTGCATTAAACATTTGAAACAGGGCAGCCCGGGTGGCTCAGCGGTTTAGCACTGCCTTCAGCCCGGGCCTAATCCTGGAGGTCTGGGATCAAGTCCCACGTCGGGCTCCCTGCATGGAGCCTGCTTCTCCCTCTGCCTGTGTCTCCGCCTCTCTTTCTGTGTGTGTGTCTCTCTCATGAATAAATAAATAAAATCTTTAAAAAAAATTTTGAAACAGTGAAACAGGGTGAACTGCAAAGTACAGTGGGTTTAAAGTGCAAATTTTACTTCATACGTGAAGAGTTTACTGAATGTGGATATCTTTACCACTGAGATCAATTCTTCTTTTAAAATTTCAGGTTGTTTGTTTTAAGACTAAAAAACAAATTGGGAAAATAGGAACTGTGATAATATATTAACTATTATAATAAAACCACCAATATGTAGGTAGCTTTCCCCCTTTATTTAAAACACAGTCGCAGGGGATTCCTGGGTGGCTCAGCAGTTTGGTGCCTGCCTGTGGTGTGATCCTGGAGTCCTGGGATCGAATCCCACATCAGGCTCCCTGCATGGAGCCTGCTTCTCCCTCTGCCTGTGTCTCTGCCTCTCCCTCTGTGTGTCTCTCATGAATAAATAAATAAAATCTTAAAAATAAATAAAACACAGTCACATAATTAAAAAGTTTTAATCTGATACTCTTTTCCTTTTTATGTTTTAATAGTTTGTCTTTATTTCTTCATTGGTATGATGTCACGGGAACATCCACACATTACTTTTTGAACCATTATCATTACTTGTTTCATTGAATGAATATTATTGGAAATAATTTTGTTATGTAAAGGAGAGGCTATCAAAAAACAATCTGCTCCCGGTATCAGGTACTCTTAGGTTGCCACTGGGCAACACTTAGCCCCAAGGAAAGTCTAAAATCCCTCCAGTGAGGTTCCAGTGGGTGTCATGAAAAGCCCATGGTGGGAGTATGTGAGGCTTGTGGCCCCTCTTCTGGTCTCTGTGTGTTTTTGCCCTGACTGCAGAAAAAAGCACGGGTCAAAGCAAACCACTGTGAGACCTGCCAAGGACCCCACGTGGCCTGACCTGCCTCCCAGTAAAGGTCACAGCTGCAGAAGGGTGCAGGTACCCAAACTGGAGAGGCCCTAGAGGGCTTCTCCCTCCATCACTGTCAGCCCACTCGGTTTCCAGTGGCCCAGAAACTGGCACCTGCAATGGCCTCTCTGACATGAGGAGGAGGGCTCAGAGAGCCAGATCCAGAACAACCCTAACTTTAGAGGCCAGCCTCCCTCCCTGGCCTCCCTCCCTCCCTTCCTTTCTTGCTTTCTTCCAGGTCCCAGGGCCTGGATGGTCTACACTGCCTCCTGCCTTCACCCTGATGATAGTTGCTCCCCTTGTGGGAGAGCCTGGAGTGAGCTCAATAAAGGAAGCACGTGGAGGCCAAACAACAAGGCCTATACAGCATTACTGAGTAGCTGCTATGTGCCAGGCACTGTGGTGCCATTTTACATGGATTCCTGTAAGGTAGACATAGTAATGACCTCCATTTGACAGTGATGGAGTGGGCTCAGGGGCGGAGCAGCTTGCCTGAGTGGATGACAGTCAATGAGCTCCTAAAGACTCAGGGCTATGGTTCTTGGAGGGAGGTTTCCTGGAGACTCAGACCTGGAAGCAGGGGTATGGGGGAGTCATCCATGGAGGGTTGGGCCTCTGGAGCTTAGAGGCAGGGTCTGTGGCAGGGTGGTGGAGAGCAGGCCAAAGGGGCAGCAGAACCACAGGGCAGACCTAGCTTTTCCTTGGGTCTGCTTGCCTGAACCTTTGCCTGCCAGCCCATCCCTGGCCACATCCCCTGGGAGCGGGCCCTCCATAGATGGCTTGTTCAGGGCCCCTCAGTGGTCCCTTTCTATCTGCTTGCCTCTCATCCCCACCTCCAACAGTCAATGGGCCAACCCCCCCCCCCATGAGACCAGCCAATGTGGCAGGGCTGAGGCTAGAGACAGCAGCCCGCAGCTATGGCAACCCCCCTGAACAACTCACCCCTGCTGAAGAATTAGAGTCCTCTCTGAGGGGAGAGCAAAACTCATGCCAAGTCCTCTTTAGGAGGCATCCTGGGAAGAGGGCAACCCAGGGTACCTATACCCCACCTTGGTTGCCAGTCTTCTGAGGCAGCTGGCTCCCTGTGGGCAGAAGAGGTGAGGTGCATTTGAGGAGCACTCTACAATTTTAAAAATCTCTGCTTTCTGAGGCTCACTGTCCCCAACTCACAGGTATGAAAGCTGAGGCCCAAGGAGCCATGTGATTTACCCCAGGTCACACAGGGGGACAGCAAGGAGGAACTCGGTGTGCTTTTAGCCACTACACAGTGACTTTCCATCCAGGCTGCCTTGTCACAGGAGACGGGCACCTGGTTAAGAAAGGGAGATAAGATCCGCAGGGCTCCTGCCTTCAACTGGAGCTTGTGAAAGATGTTGCTTAAGGGGTGTCTCAAGGGCAACCGCCGCCAGGGCTGGGGGCACTGGGGTGGGAGGCGGGGCTGCGGATGATGGGGAGAATGGGGCTCGGAGCAGGTGCTGATGGCACCGGGGAAGGGATGACCCTGGAACAGGAGCAAGGACAGGCAGGCTGTGGGGCGCCGGGGGTGGGATGGGATGGGACGGGGTGAGGATTCTGGAGCGCAGCAGCAGCTGGCACCCTACTCCGGGGGCGGAATATGATGGGGTGGAGCCAAGGACCAGCGGCTGGGGACGCCCTAGGAGGAAAAGTAGGGGTAGGAGGAGGCGCGGCCCTTGGGGGCCTTCTACCCTTCTGATGTGGAAATGGAGGCCCGGACAGGGTCGCACAGGGAGTGACTGAGCCAGTCCAGACCCAGGCCCACTGCTCAGTGCTAACCACTGAGGCACTGGAGGAAACCCGTGCAGAAGCGCGGAGTCCGGGACTCCGCTTGGGGGGAGGACTCTCCGCGTGCTACCGCCCCTCTGCAGGTGCTTTCCCTGTGACACCCTGGGGGGCCCCCCCCGACGCAGCCCCTTATTTTCACTGCCCAGCTCTGCCTCAGCCATCCCCTCACCGTCTCCTTGGCATCTTGCAAGGAGCTGGCAGGGACAAGCAGTAAGGGAGAGGGGTCCGAATCACTGACCTGACATCATTCCTGCACTCCATGAACATTTACTGAGGCCCTACTGAACGCCCAGCCTTGCGCTGAGGTGTCTGGGGAGATACAAGAGTAAGGCTGCCCCAGTTTCTGCCCAGTTCGGGGAGGAGAGGAGCCTTTCCAACAGTCTGGTCCAAGTCCTACTTTAGGGTCATGGAAAGTCAGTTCTGGAGAGGGCAAGACACTTGCCCAAGACCATACAACTTGGTTAGTGGCAGGCCCAGGCCCAGTCCTCTGAGGCACGTGGCTCCTTAATCTTCCAGCAACTATTCATTGAGCAGTGCCTGTGTTCCAGGCACTGCCCTGCACGTGGAGCGAATACCAGTGCACTCAGTAGCGAAGAGGGTGGGAGTGGGGTGCTTCAGTTTCACAACTCCCCTGAAAATGAGAGGGAAGTTCCAGGGCTCCACCTCAAGAGGCTGGGCTTCCCCTCCCCCACCCTGGGACAAGATATAAAAGTCCCTTTCCAGACACTTCCAGAAAAGAGGAGGAGGTGAGAGGTCAGCTTAGAGACCTCCAGGTGAGAAGAGAGCAGGGGACCCACCTGTGTGCAGGATGTGGGTGTCGATCCCTTGCCCCGGTATGGCTGGGTGCCTCATCGCCAAGATGAAGCTGTTCCTGGCCCTGGCAGGGGTCCTAGCCACACTCATTCTGGCCCCACTGTGTGAGGGCGCTGGCACAGGTAACATCCCTTTGGACAGCTAAGGAGGAGGGCAGTGGAGGGGGAGGTGTTTGGGTCTGGGGAAGCCCGTGGCTCCTCTGGACTCTGAGCCCCCTCCTTTTGAACAGCCTCCCCTAGGACAGTGGAGACCTCGGTCCTTCGGGGCTGCATAACAGAGGCCAAGTTACTGGTGGATGCTGCCTACAATCAGACTCAGAGGAGGTGGGTCTGGGAGGGTCAACGAGGTGGGTGGGCTCCAGCCACGGTCATGTCAGCCATCACCCTGCCCCCGGGCACCTTGGGGCAGTGCCATGTCAGCAGAGAGCCTCCCTTCCATCCATCCTGCCTTCTCATACTGCCCTGACTGTCCACTCCCAGGCTGGGACTCTGCTGGGGGCTTCTGCTGGGGGGCTCTGCTTCCTTTCTCCAGTCCCTGCTCTCCTTGTGCAGCATCAAGGAGCGCCTCCGTAGTGGCCTGGCCAGCCCCTTGGACCTCCTGTCCTACTTCAAGCAACCATTAGGAGGCACCAGAACGGTGGTTCGGGCCGCTGATTATATGCATCTGGCCTTGGATCTGCTGGAGGAGAAGCTACAACTCCAGGGGTCAAGTTCCTTCAATGTCACTGGTACTGTGCTCCCCCACTGAGCCCCAGGGTTTCTCTGGCCTGGGAAGGTGGGGTACACAGCCTGGGCTGTCAGGAGGGAAGGGGTAAAGGGATGGGAGGTATGGAACAGACCCAGTTGGGAAGGAGCTAGGACCCTGGACCCAGGACTCTGCCCTCTGCCCCAACCCCAGATGTGCTGACGGAATCCCAGCTTCGGCTGCTGTCCCAGGCCAGTGGCTGTGCTCCCCAGGACCAGAAGGAGAAGTGCAGCAACAAGTATCGGACCATCACTGGGAAATGCAACAACAGGTGTGTATCAGAGGCCACGCCTTACCCAAGGGCCCCTCCTTTCCCTCCCCCATGCCCTCACCCCATGCTGAGTGGTCTCTGGGTCCAGAACCCTTGCTGACCAAAGCCTACCCACTGTTGCAGGAGAAGACCCTTCCTGGGGGCCTCCAACCAGCCCCTGGCCCGCTGGCTAGCAGCTGAGTATGAGGACGGGCTGTCACTTCCCTTCGGTTGGACACCCAACAAGAGGCGTCATGGTTTCCTCCTCCCTCTTGTGAGTGGGGGCTGAAGGTCGGGAGGAGGTTCCACTACTTCTCATCATGGGGAGTAAGAGCCCAGCCCAGAGCCAGCTGGAGTCCGGGCTCTCCGCTCGCCAGCTAGGTGACTCTGAGCAAGTCATACAGCTGAGACTCAGTTTCCCCAGCTGTAAAATGGCAGTAAAAGCCACCTCATATTGTTGGTGTGTATATTAAATAAGGTCTTTAGTATAAACATCTATGTAGGATGTGATCTAGTAACCTTAGCCATTATAGTATTGCTTTTTCTGAAAGAATTAGTGTCAAGGGATCCCTGGGTGGCGCAGCGGTTTAGCGCCTGCCTTTGGCCCAGGGCACGATCCTGGAGACCCGGGATCGAATCCCACATCGGGCTCCCGGTGCATGGAGCCTGCTTCTCCCTCTGCCTGTGTCTCTGCCTCTCTCTCTCTCTGTGTGTGACTATCATAAATAAAAAAAAAAAGAATTAGTGTCAAAAAGTATCTTCGCTAATATAAAGAGCTGTATGTCTTACTTTATGTCTATTGATCTAAGTGATTTCATGTGTATTGGTTTATCATTCTTCTATTCATATGTCAATATAACAGCCACCTATTTATCCACCGACATCTATTTATTAATTCTTCCTCCATCTATCTATCCAGTTCTCTCTGTATTTATTACTTATCACATACCAACTGGTTCATGTATACAAGTCACTCTGTCATCTAGGTACCCGTTAGTCTATATATAAATTGATCTATTGGTTTGATTTACCTCTTTGGAAGAGCTGAAGGATTCCAGCCAGCCAACCTGGCCTTTCCCCTTCTCTACTCCTGGAATCCTCAGGAGCCACACGGGGGGCCATCCTCCTACACATGACAGCCACGCAGTGGGTGGGACAAGGTAGGAGTAGGGAGGCGAGGGCAGGAGAGGAGGAGAGACTGTGTTCACTCCAGCATGGCTGGTCTGCGGCCCCATGCCCCATGTTGACCATCTCTCCACCAGGTCCGGGCCGTCTCCAACCAGATTGTGCGCTTCCCCAATGAGAAGCTGACCTCCGACCGGGGCAGGGCCCTTATGTTCATGCAGTGGGGCCAGTTCATTGACCATGACTTGGACTTTGCCCCTGAGTCCCCAGCCAGAGTGGCCTTCACTGCAGGTGTGGACTGTGAGAAGACCTGTGCCCAGCTGCCTCCCTGTTTCCCCATCAAGGTATCCCCACCGGTCCCCCAGGTCCCAGCTATGGCCTCCGCTCCAGGCCAAGAGCTGGGGGTGGGGGTCTGTAAGACTGAAGCGCCCTCCTTAAAGAGCTGTCTGTGATGCTGGAGTATCAGACAAAGGAGAGGAGCACAGCCCCTGCACAGGCCCCTGGTTCTGTGCATGTCCCCGGGGTGGGGCTGGAGGTGGGGCTGGGGGCGGGGCAGTCTTCTGGCAGGTTTCGGGCTGGCTTCACTGACTACCCTTGACACATGGGTTGGATCCCAACAGGAGAAGCCTCTGGGCTGCTGCTCTTGAGAGCCTTTAGGGTCTCTTAGCTCTTGCCTTCCTCTCCTTCCTGAAGCAGTCCAAGGGTCCTGGGTCCTACAGCTTTCACCAATTCCCAATTCCTGGGATGGCGTTGTGAGCAGGGTGCTATCCTTCAGGCTGAGAGGCAAGGATGGAGTGGAGCACTAGGGAAGAAAGACAGACTCCAGAAAGGAGAGCCTTTTTGGGGATATAGAGGGGGACACATGTGCATACACTCCCACATCCATTCACCCCTAACAGGTAGGGCGACATTCGTGGGGCACGACACGTGAGGGCTCGTAGCTGACTCCTCCCTGGTGCAACCTTACCCGTTCCTTGAGCACCGGTTCAAGGGCAGCTCCTCGTGGGAATCTTCCCATATTTTCCTAGCATACCTTTCACTTTTGGCTTTTAGATCAAGCATAGCAAATAGCACCTCGATTTAGAGTTATACTCTCTATGTGTGCACCTGTTTTCACTGAATGCCAGCTTCCTGAAACCTGTTCTGGATTTTGTTGACTTTTGTTGGTCTCCAAAGCACTTGGCATAGAAGGGTGCTCAGGAAATGTCTGTAGGATTAAATGGAATGAGAGGGGCACAGGCCCAAATGTCAGGAGAACTAGGTCTTAATCCTTCTTCTCCTGCTATCTAGTTGTCACTTCCTGTCTCTGAGCCTCAGTTTCCCCATCTGTAAAGTGAGGATCAAAGGCCTCATCCATTTCTCACCTTTCATAACTCTATGATACAAAGTGCTAAGGATGCTCAGATCCACCTGGTGAGCAGCACGAGTCTGGGTGAGTGGAGGAGGGCTTCCTAGAGAAGAGGAGTTTCAAGCAAGGTTTTGAAGCAAGTGAGGGATGATCCAGAAGAGTGAGCTTGCTCTTGGGGGGGCCCCTTGTCACTGGCTCCTCTTCCACCTCAGATCCCACCCAATGACCCCCGCATCAGGAACCAGAGTGACTGCATCCCCTTCTTCCGCTCGGCACCCGCATGCCCCCAGAACAGGAACAAAGTCCGAAACCAGCTCAACGCACTCACCTCCTTCGTGGACGCCAGCATGGTGTACGGCAGCGAGGACCCTCTGGCCACTAGGCTTCGAAACCTGACCAACCAGCTGGGGCTGCTGGCTGTCAACACCCGCTTCAGGGACAACGGCCGGGCCCTGCTGCCCTTCGACAACCTGCGGGACGATCCCTGCCTCCTCACCAACCGCTCTGCACGTATCCCCTGCTTCCTGGCAGGTCAGTCGCCAGTCGTTGGTCGTTGGTCGAATGAAGAGTAAATAAGACCTGGTACAAAAGAGTTTAATTCAAAGCCAGCAAATGACGGTGGGTAAGGCCCCCCTTCAGGAATTTGCTTTCCTCCCTGGCCTTGAGGAGAAGCTCTCTACAGGAACTGGCTAAGCCCAATCCTCTCTCTCTTTCCCCTGGGCCTGGGGAGAGCAGCCTGATCCCCAATTCCATAGCTGGGGAAAGGTCTAGCCCTTAGTGGAGAATGCTGGTGGATGCAGGTCGTGCGACAGATCGGTTCACAGTCCCAAAGTCAAGGTTCCTGGAGTCAGCCAGGTCCCTCCACCAGGGATCCATGGACCTGGTCACTTGTAGAATAGAATCATCAGGCCCAAGTTCAGCAGCTGCTCTGTGCTTTCCTACCTTGCCTGAACCTGTTTCAGTAATTTGGGGTCTGAGACCCCACCGTCGTCCCCCTCCTGATCCCCTCCTGTGTGGGGCGGAGGGTGGCAATCAGTGAGGAGCCTCGTAGCAGAGCTGTGGAGATGGAGGTCCAGCAAGGGCCTGCAGCTTGGCCCAGGTCACAAAGTGCTACCACCTCTTCCTAGTCCCCAGAGCTCTGTCTTGGCAGAAAGACATTTCTCTGGGAAGTGCTGTGGTGACTCTGAACTTGGGGTTTTCAAGGTGACTCCCGATCATCGGAAACCCCCAAACTGACAGCTATGCACACCCTCTTTATGCGAGAGCATAACCGGCTGGCTACGGAGCTGAGACGCCTGAATCCTCGGTGGAGTGGAGAGAAGCTGTACCAGGAGGCCCGAAAGATTGTGGGGGCCATGGTCCAGGTAGGGAGCCCTAGGCCCAAGTATCCCCTAGGAGATAATATGGCATGAGACACCATTTGAGAGAGTGGCTGCCATTTTCCTTAATACATCCTTTGGGGATATGCCTCAGATTAGCTAGGTCTGGGTGACTGGGAGTCTACCTGAGATCTCACCTGTACCCCAAACTCTGCTGCTCACTGTGTGACCCTGTCCTTGTCACCTCACTCTCTGAGCTTTGAAATCCTCTTCAGCCAATGGGAAACTTAAGATTTCCACAGTTGACATGATGGCAGTAAAGAATTAGGATGTCTGAGCAGCCCTTCAGGAAGCAAAGGCAAGGGAATGGGGTGGGTGGCCGCTAAAGTAATGTTCCTCCTGTCTTCTCTTGAAGATCATCACCTACCGAGACTTTCTGCCCTTGGTTCTGGGCGAGGCCCGAGCCAGGAGAACCCTGGGGTGCTACCGGGGGTATTCCTCCAATGTGGACCCTCGTGTGGCCAATGTCTTCACCCTGGCCTTCCGCTTTGGCCACACCATGCTCCAGCCCTTCATGTTCCGCTTGGACAGCCAGTACCGGGCCTCAGCACCCAATTCTCGTGTCCCGCTTAGCACTAGCTTCTTTGCCAGCTGGCGAGTCGTGTATGAAGGTGACTAGGTTTTATTTAATTTTTTTATTAATCAAAGATTGTATTTATTTATCCATGAGAAACACATAGAGAGAGGCAGAGACATAGGCAGAGGGAGAGGCAGGTTCCCCGCAGGGAGTCCAGTGCGGGACTTGATCCCAGGACCCCATATCACGACCTGAGCTGAAGGCAGATGCTCAACCGCTGAGCCACCAGGTGCCCCAGAAGATGGGAGTGGGGCTGGGGCCAAGCTTAGTGCCAGGAGGCCAGGCTGCTGCTCAGGCCACTGCTAATCATCTTCCCAGGGCACTGAAAACAAAGCAGGTGGCCAAGACCCTCAGGCCTGGGCATCCCATCCCCTCGGGGATAGAGGATTTCCAAAAGGGGAGAAGACTCCTGTCAGATTGTGGGGGCTTGTGGGCCTAGTAAGAGCTTGCCTTCTCCTTCTTTAACAAGTGAGGGTGACTTCTTTCCCTGCCGGCCCCAACTCCCTTCAAGTCTATGCAGGCCTTTGTGTCCTGATACAACTATTACAGAATATAAGCCACTGGCTTGTCCAGCTCTGAGCTAGTTTGACATCAAGTGATGACCCATGGGCTCCCCAGAGGCTGACCCAATCTGTGCTGCTCACATTCTCTGCCACCAGGTGGCATCGACCCCATCATCCGAGGCCTCATGGCCACCCCTGCCAAGCTGAACTGTCAGGATTCCATGTTAGTGGACGAGCTGAGGGACCGGCTGTTTCAGCAAGTGAGAAGGATCGGGCTGGACCTGGCAGCTCTCAACATGCAACGCAGCCGGGACCACGGCCTCCCAGGTGAGGGGGCTTTGCTTGGCCCGGGGCTGCTTCTGCTGGCAGTGTGGGAGGGGGCTGGTCAGAGAAGATCTTCCGTGCATCCTCTCTGGCTGGAACTAAACCCCATGTGCTGTGGTTCAGAAGCAGGCAAGGCTGAGCTTGATGCAGTAAAGTGGCCCCGGGACCACCCTTTTGCCATCCTGTCACATCTCCTCCAGCCACTACAGGGCCTTTACCTGTAGGTTCACACCATGGCTGGGACTTGGACACAGGAGTGGACAAAGCAGATCAGGACTTTCCAGATGGAGAAAATAGTAGGTTCAAAGGGCAAGGAAGAACCGCTCCATTCCCTTCTACCCTGGCGAGTTCCAAGGAGGCAGATGCAAGTTCTGGGGACATAGAAACTAGCTCCTGCCTCTAAGTATGGAAAGGCAAAGAGCCGGAGAGGCAGGAACAGGTGGAGTGAACTTAAGACAGCCTTGGCTGTTTCATGAAGATACAAAAATCCCAGCAAAGAAAAATTTATCCCAGGAAAGAAGAAAACTTTGGCATTTTGCCAAGAATTTTCATGGCTATTAATCATTTCTTTCTGCCAATGACCTTGAGAAGCTGAGGAAATAAGCTCAGAGACATCTAGGTCATTTTCTCAAGGCCACAGAACTAGGAAATAGTAAAATTTGAATCAAGTTCAAATTTCTCCTTTCTTTCCCCCTGTGCAAGCTACAGTGTTAGGGGAAGGCTTTGGTCACTGCCTTGCTCCCCTCTCCTCCCGACCTATTACTTTCCTGTCGAAAGATAACTCGAAGCGCCATCTGCCTCGGCTAATCTGTGGCTGTGTAGAACAGGGTGGGGGCAATCTCCAGCCAACCTGATACAGCACCTGGCAGGCACACAGCAGGGGCTCAAGAACCTGCTTCTTTCAAGAACCTCTTTCTTACACTTGGGGGCTCCAGACAACTAGAGCCGTGGGCGCCCCCTGCTGGAGAACCGAGATTGCCAGCCAACCAAGTGCCACAGTTTCTGTGCCACCCCGCCCCCATACCTTTCCTTCTGCGCTGTCCCAGAAATATTGTCCTGATACTAGCTCTGACAGTCTTCTACAATCCCTTCCCAAGTTCAACAACCAAATTTGGAATTGGAAGAGCTTGTTTGGACTCCACTTAATGGAGTGACCTTAAGAAAGTCACACTTGCTCAAGCTCAGCAAACATCCATGGATACACTGGAGATTACAAAGTGCCTCACAAAGGTGTTGTGAGGATCCTAAGAGATTATCACACACCAGTGCTGAGTGAGGTAAAGCATTCGAATGTTTTCCTTTGCTCAGCTGGAAGTTGGGTGTTTGTGAGTTGTAGTTCAATGGACAATCGTGTGCAGGTGTTTCTTCAAGGTTAGGGCAAACCTGTCTCCTATCTCGATGGGCCCCACCTCATCATCTGGCTTAGTCTTGGTGTGGGATCCTCTAACAGCCAAGAAGTCAGAAGGTCGGCCTTTGGAAGTTTCTGAGTAGGTGAAAAAAGAAATTCCAAACAGCTTTACTGGAATCTAATTAGCATACCATAAAATTTACCCATATGAAGTATACAATTCAATGACTTTGGTATATTTAGAGTTGTAGATTGATCACTTTTTTCTTTTTGGCTGTTAAGGTCTTTGGCCCATTGGTCACCATTACTAATTTTTATCACTACCTTACAACAAAGAAACCTTACAGCAACCATCACTCCTGGTCCCCACCCTAGCCCCTGACAATCACTGATCTTTGCACCTACCTCTACATAATTGCCTATTCTGGACCTTTCATGTAAATGGAATCATATAACCTGTGGTCCTTTTCTGAGTAAACTTTAACCACACTCTTCAATTCTTGGTTTGTTCACCTATGTGTTTATTCATGCCTTCTCAAAACCTGATTAAGAGTCTTTTATGTTCTGGGTCCATCTTATTTGTACCTAATTGATGCATTGGTGCCCAGTAATGTCTTTGTGGTTATGATTGTTGAGTTACAGCAGCTTCTTATGTTAGGACACACTCCTTGGTTGATGCATGGTTGTCCACTCACTTTGAAAATTAGAGGGCAGTGGTTTGATCTTTGCAAGTTTTGGCCCTCTTCTGTCAGCAGAGATCTTGTTCTGCCTGACATTTCCTGACCACAGAGCTCTCTCAGGAGAAGCTGTGGAGAAGCAGAAGCTAAGGGGAAGGCAGCAGGGTAAGACTGAACCGCCTCTGCCCCCTCTCCCTACAGGGTACAATGCCTGGAGGCGCTTCTGTAGCCTCTCCCAGCCCCGGAATCTGGCACAGCTTAGCCGGGTGCTACGAAACCAGGATTTGGCAAAGAAGTTCCTAAATTTGTATGGGACACCTGACAACATTGACATCTGGATTGGGGCCATCGCAGAGCCTCTTTTGCCGGGGGCCCGAGTGGGGCCTCTTCTGGCTTGTCTTTTTGAAAAACAGTTTAACAAAGCCCGAAGTGGTGACAGGTAAGTGACTCTCCCCTAAAAAGACCAGCCCCAGAGGCAGGGCAGAAAAGCACTAGCATGTCAAGACTCGGTAAGGGCGATAGTGACCTTTTTAGATTCATTTCTTCCAAGTTCACAGGGTCTGAGATCAGGAGACTTCTCTGTGGAGAGGTCAGTCAGAGCAAGAGAGACCATGGGCCAGGCAAGGCTGATGGCATCTGAGCTACATGCACCTTTAGCCCACAAAGCAGACTTGTTCCTCGCCGTTCCTCGCTAATGGATCCCAGAAAACATGAGCAGGAAGGGCTAAATCTTACTTCCAACAAAGCTTATGGTTTAAGACCTGACTCCTTATTTGGATTTGGCATTTACTTGGGTTCAAATCCAACCCAGGCCACTTAAATTACTGTGTTTAATATTGAGCAATTTACTTGACCGTTGAACCTGTTTCTTCATTTATAAAAGAGGAATACCTATTTTTCAGGAATTCTGGAGAATTCAATGAAATGATGTCAAGTACCTGGCATACAGCAGATGCCTATTATGTTAATTCCTCCCTAACCTTCACCCACATCCCTCCACTTATCTCGATAGGTTCTGGTGGGAAAAAAGGGGTGTTTTCACCAAGAGACAGCGCAAGGCCCTGCGCCAGATTTCCTTGTCTCGAATTGTGTGTGACAATACTGGCATCACCACCGTTTCGAGGGACATCTTCAGGGCCAACGTTTTCCCACGGGGCTTTGTGAGCTGCAGCCGCATCCCCAGGTTGAACCTGTCAGCCTGGCGAGGCAGATGAGGCCTCTGCAGGTAAGGGAAGGCCCTCCTCCAACGGCTCTGGGCGGGGCCAGGCCTTTACATCTTCCCCTGGGCCAGGTGGCTGAGTCCTTTAAGACCTCTAACAGAGACAATACTTGTCACTACAGGCAGGGTAATCTTCCCTAGTGGCTTCTGGTATGCTAGCTTCAGGATGGATAGTTAATCCAAGGCCTAGGACTTTGGGGGGCAGTTAGGAAGTGTCCAATTAGCTTCAGCTTAGTCTTGGGGACCCTAAAAGAGCTCTGTCTGGATACAAGCAAGTTCCTTCCTTGTCCACTTGTGCTGCTTCCACAGGAGCCCATCCCAAGCCTCCAGCCTTATACACAAGGGAACTTGAGGAAGACCACAAGGCTGCCTTTTACCCTGGAGCAACCACATCTGCTGACGCTTCTGCTGGCTATGGCTCAGAGCTGGTTCCGTGGCTGACAGCTGGCGCTCTTGACAGCAATGAACCCTCCCACCTTGGGAGCCTCCTAGGTATTTGGTCAGGCATCAGCTGGCTCCCAGTGCAAGGAGGTCTTGAGGCTCAGGCAAGAAGAGTTATCTGGATGGTTTCCAGTCTCTTTTTCCTATTTCCCAAGCCTATCTCCATCCCCCACCCATGACTGCAGCCCACACCACACCCAGCCCCAGCTGCCCCACAATCCTCTGCTGGAGCCTGCAGGTTGGGCAGTGTGCTCTGGTTGTACCAATAAAGGACTGCTGAGGCCAAGAGCTGGTTTCTGCGTTGGGCTGGGGAGGGCATAACTACAGTCCCATGCTTTGCTCCAAATATTTAAGAGGAGCACTGCCAGGACACCACCAGCACTAACCCCTAAATTTCTCCTGCGGGCTGACTTAACCCAAAGAGACACTCTGGAGTAGGAAAGGGCAGAAAGGGAGAAGGTTCAGGAGAATACTTTGGCCACACCAGCAGCCTGAATACAAAAACAGCCGACACGTCAGTCAGTATAAAAAGTTCTTATGTACAAAAAGCACAATAAAAGATACTACCTGGCTAGCAGAGAGGACTGGGCACTGCCTTCAGCCTTCACTTACTCATATCTCAAACCCAACAAACCCCAGGCAGCAGGACAAGGCTACCCTAGAAAGAGGAGGCTGAGGCCTTCAGGCAGGAATTCAAGATCTCTCCTTCTTCCCTTACTTGAGCCTCCATTTGTAAGGCAGGCTGAGAAGCAGGAGGCACCTGCAGCTCCCTGCTCTTGAGACAGTGAGACAAGCCAGAAAAGAGAACCCCACACTGGGCTAACCCAACAGGCCTGCCTTGTTGTGACAGCCACTTGCAGGAAAGGAAATATGAAGAGGGGCACCATAGGGTCTCCAGCATTATTGCTACCCAGCAGCGGGGAGGCCCTGCTGAAGATTAGGCAGAGGGGCTGGCCTGGGACTTGCTCAGCTCTTCTGGTTCTCGGCAGTCCAATGGGGTCACTTGTGAGAAAGATGAAGACGCGGGAGGGCACTGGCCTCAGATGGTACCTGTCTTGTCCTCTTGCAGAGGGGACCGGGGCCACAGTGAGCTAGGAAACCATGGTTCCCGAGGGGCTCACTAGGTCCTGGGGAAGGCTCTCTCGGGCCTCCTGCATGCGGCGCCGGGCACGACGGAAGGCCTCTGGGAGAAGAGTGATACAGCAGTGAGCCACTGTGGTGCAGGCAGGAGCGTGGCTCAGGCTGGTGTGGGGGGAGCTAGGGGGGATTAGCTGCGAAGAGGAGGGAAACCTACCCAGCACACTGTGAACTGAACTCTGCTGGCTGAAACCTTCCAGACGGTCCAGCACACTCCGCATCCTTTTCTGGAGGAAGCTTGACTCCATGAAGGCCCTGCACAGAAGCCCACCATGTGGCCACAGTTGCTCTCCAGCCCTCAGGGGTATGGCTGAGGGCCAGGGTCACTCACCTGGACTGCTGCAGACAGTGCAAGCGGAATGTGACACTGCCTGTGGTCTCGGTGCGGAACCCAAAGCGGCTCAGACGCTCCCCCTATGGAGTGCAGTTCAGTGTTAGGCTTCTGGGCACCTTGCTAACCTCACCCCCGTTCTTACTCCCATTCTCGCAGAACAGATCTGCTGGGGAAACCTCATTCCCACAGACTCCATAACCTCAAGGCTAACATTAGGCTCCCAACTATAAATCAGGGGATGCCCCAACCTCATTTGAGATTAAGCAGTCCTACAAGTGTCCTGCCAATCCTCCCCACCTCTGATTACTGAAGCCTCAGTGATGGGCTGGAAGGAGGGGCCGGTAACTCTGACGGCACCCGGGGAATCTCTAAGTATACTCATTTCCCGAGATCTCCTAGGGTAGCAGTGTAGATGTCTGCACCTGGTTCAAGATGTGGCCATGACCTCCAGCTTAAGCTACAGGAAGGAAGGGATTAAGTAATAATGAAACAATTAAGGGGCCTTAACCCAAATCCCACCTTCTCCAGAAGAGACAGGAACCTAAACTCCCAGCACAAAGTCTCCCCAGAGACAAAAGTCACCTTGAAGGTTCCTGGTATCCGCACGTAGGAAAGGTCCTCCAGTTCCAGAGAGCCGCCAATGAAAAACCTCCTCAGCTCAGCCACCGTGCCGAGCTCCATGGGCCTCCACGTGGAGACAGTCAGGGTGTGCGAGCCTGTGCCAGAGAGGGGAGAGGGGCCGCAGCCAGAAAGGACACATGGTCTCTGACTCCCAGCAATGACATAGGCCCTAGCCTCCACTAAAACACCTTGTCTGGTGATAACCTGACCGCCAGTGAGGTGATCATGGTGGTCTGAGGCACCTGTTTGGAAACCAATCAGCTAGAAATTCAAAATTTAGCCCTGCCAATTATGACCTGTGTCCCTGAGACAGGTTTATTAACTCCTCTGAGCCCCATTCTGCCTACTAGGAAAGTGGCAGCGGTAAGGCTTATGCCTCAGAGTGGCTGGTGGAATTAAACGAGAAGCACTTAGTATAACGCTTGGCACCCAACAGAAGACAATGGCTATTGTTTCAAAACAAAGAATGATCCATTCAATACATGTATGCCAAGTGCCCACCCTGCCTGAGCTTCTCTGTCAAGGCTGCATGTCAAAACAGAGGAGCATGAAGCAGATGCCACAGACGCTCGGGCTGCACCACTTCAAGGTTAGTTGCGACTTCATTCAGTTGTCCCTAATGCAGCGGGGAGAATTCCTCAAAAGGAGCAAGGAATCTTGCAAGTTAAATGATTCTAATTCCTAAGTATCCCTCCTTCTCATGGAAGAGGCCAAATCTTTTAGAAGTGTTAGTCTTGTTCCTAGGAGCTAGGGCATGTGGGCCAGTGGAGGGCGGGAACCAGACGTCACCTGGGGTGGCAGGCAGCACCATGGCCCCGTAGCCTTCCACACGATACCTCTGCCAGAAGTCCAGTGAGAGGACCTCACAGTAGAGCACAGGCCACTCTGGGAGAGCATCTGGAAGAAGGGAGAGAAGTCAGCCGGGTCACAGGAGGCCTTCCTGAAGAGAGGGCACCACCAGAGGAGACCCCGAGCCTAGGACCTACTCACCAGTAGATTCGTCTTCATGGAGGAAAGAGGCCTCAAATGTGAATGGGTAGGAGAAGTAAGCCACCTTCTCCTAAAGAAGAGAAGTATTATTTTATACTCAGTGTCATGGGGTAGGCAAGGCCTCACTGAGAATCTGTTCTTCCTGAAGCCATTGACACCTTCGCAAGGAAAATGAAAAACTATCACCCCATGTGGGAAATAAGAGGCTGAGAGAAGAAGGGGCACCCACATACAAGCTACTACCATTCTCAGAAAAACAGAGAGGGAACCTCTGGACCAGGCAGCCCTATAGAGCCTGCAGAGAAGGGCCAGACCCAACTCTGAATCCTCCCCAGGGTGGCAGCCCCATAATTTCCTCTCCAGATACCCCTCTTGTTTTCCATACCATTCCCAGGGATTTGGTGGCACAGGTCTGTGTTATTCCTGAGAGCTGCTGGAATGCTGGGCTTGACCAATCTGAAAGCCAAAGACCATATATAGTAAGATGACCTGGGAGGAAGGCAAGTAGTTGAGAAAAAGACAAAGTTCCTTTATCCATTCATTCACTCACACACTCACTCATCCACTTAACATTTACTGAGTGTCTCCTATGTGCTAGGACCAGTCATTGGCGATATATTGGTGAGCAAACAGGAGAGATCTGTTTCTCACAGAGCTAATATTCCAGTTGGAAGGGGAGACAGACAACAAATCAACCAACAAGAGGCTATTAGGTAGTGATAGATTTATTTTCTAAAAATAAAGCAGGCTCTTTTATTTATTTTTTTAAAATATTTTATTTATTCATGAGAGACACAGAGAGAGAGAGGCACAGACACAGGCACAAGGAGAAGCAGGCTCCATGCAGGGAGCTCGACGTAGGATTTGATCCCAGGTCTCCAGGATCACGCCCTGGGCCGAAGGTGGCGCTTAACCACTGAGCCACCCAGGCTGCCCAAGCAGGCTCTCTTAGATCGGGTGGTGAGGGAGGACCTCTCAGAAGTGACCCTTATGCGAGACCTAAACTCAGAAGAACCAGTCATGCAAAGATATGACTGAAAGGTTTTCAGACAAAGGAAATGATTCCCAAAAGGCCCTAAGGTGGAAATGAACTTGGTATGTTCACGAACAGAAAATCTGATGGGAATGCTGTAAGGGAGAGATAGGCAGGGGCCAGCTTGTTCAGGCGTTGGAGCTGGGATTTTACTCTAAGTGGGAGGGGAAGCTGTTGGGGTTTAAAGCTCAAGAGAGACACAACTAATTTACATTTTCAAAGGTTCAATTTGGCCATGGTGTCTGTGCAAATGAACTGTAAAGGAAGCAAAAGGGTAAGTTAGAAAGTTAATTCATCAGCTGCGGCAGGAGATGTAGGTAGAAGAGAGAAGATGTTCAGGACATCATTTGAAGACAAAGCCGACCGGACCCAGTGATGGAATGACCGGCTGTAGGGAGCTAGAGAAAGTGAGCAATCAAGGGTATCCCTGGGTTTTGGACATCAGCAACTAAGTAAATGACATTGCCACGTCCCTTAAGGAAGACCATGAGGGCACGTTTGACGCAGGAGGGAGAATCAAGAGTTCTCTGGATCCCGTTAAGCAGGAATGACAAACAGACAATGGGATATGAGCCTGGATTCAGGCGAAAGGCCAAGGCTAGAGAGAAATCTAGGGGTCAGAGACATATACATAGTATTCAAGCCATGGGATGGGTGGGACCACCTAGAAAGACTCTAGAGAGACAGTAACAGAAGGCCCAGCCCCAGACTTGGCCACTCTAAAGGTTGGAGACCAACAGATGAGCAAATAGCCAAGGGACTGATGAACCACCACCAAGAGAGAAGAGAGGCATGTGGAGCCAGAAGCCAAGAGCAGAGTTTCAGTGAGGAACAGTGAACTGTGCCACATGCTTCTGAGAGGCCATGCAAGGTGCAAACAGAGATGTCACCGCAAGATTTGACAACTTGGAAGTGATTTATGTCCTTAAAAAGGACAGTAACAACCTCTTTGAAAAAAGTGGGGAAGCTGGACTGAATGCCTCTAGAAAATGGTCAGAATGGGTATAAAAGAGACATGAATATTACTTACTAGTGGTTGGCAATTCCACAAAGAAGTGGACGTAGAGATTGTCATACTCATAGCCTTGGGCTGAAACTAAGAGAACAAGATACAATTTCAGCTTATTCTCTTTTCTCCCTTAACACCCAACAGTCCTGAAGGGTCTGCACACTTCAGGAGGCAAGTCCCTCGAGGGCCAGGACCTATCTGTGCTTCCAGGAAAGACTCATGACTCAGTTTCCCAAGTAGCGTAGACAACCCAGGGCCTCCCCTGCAGTGGGGCGGGTTACCTCGCAGCTGTCAGGGCACTTGCACAGCAGCAGGGGAATGTCTGTCTGGAAGGACACTTACCTACCTCTCCGTTTACAAAGAGCCGGAGGGCACCTGGGGCAGTCTAAGGGAGAGAGGAGGGACAAATCAAGAGGTCTGGGGGAATCAGCACTCCGCCTCCAGCGCATCCACAAATCCCCGGAAGACCTGACACGGGCTGCCAGATATGAGTACACCACTACTGCGCTTCCTCCCCGCTCTGCCACCTTTCCGCTGCTCTGTTTCCTTCATTTCTAAAAGTTTGTGACCATAAAGAAAGTATATAATTTAAAGGGTGAGGAGGGCAATGAAGCATGGAGAGCTTATAAGAATAGCCACTTTACAGTGGGAAGCTGGTGGCCCCTGTTCCCTTTAGATGCCTGAGATCAAGGAACTAGGGAGTTTGCTTTTTTAATTACTTGTGATTTCTTATCTGACTTTTGGACACTGAACATCTGCTGCTGATGCAATATAAAAATAATGATTTTTTTTTAGGGAGAGGGAGAAGGAGAATCAGAGAGGGAAACCGCTGGGTAATCCTACGCTTGTTTCCTGATCTAGGAATGGAATTTGTGGAATAAGAAAGCAGGACCACAGAATAACTGACATAAACTATTTTGTTTGGTTTGTTTAAGAGCTAAACTATTTAGGAGCACCTGGGTGGCTCAGTGGGTCAAACATCCGCCTTTGGCTCAGGTCATGACCTCAGGGTCCTGGGATTAAGCCCAGCTTCTTCAAGCTCCCTGTTGAGCAGGGAGACTGCGTCTTCCTCTCCCTCTCTCTCTCTCTCTGTGATCTCTTTCACTCTCACTCTCTCTCAAATAAATAAATAGAATCTAAAAAAAAAAAAAAAAGCTAAACTACTTGATAAACAGAAAGGGTGCCCATTCCTTCTCTATGGGGCACTTAGGAAAAATATCCACATGAAGAGTGAGGAAGACATTGTTCATCTTTAAATTAATTTTAAAAATTAATTATAAGGTAATATGTGAATGCATTACCAATGGTAATATTTTAAAACCACTAAGTTTAGGGAATAAAAAGTAAACATCCCTGACATATCCCTCTCACTACCCAACACCCATCTACCTTCCCACCCCTACCCCCACCCCAGAGAAAGCCACCCATAGCATGTGTGTACCCTTCTAGACTTTTTTCACTGACATCTTCTTTTTCATTAACAGTTCTTTTTTAATATACCATATTTTATTTTATTTTACATTTTTAGAGAGAGAGAGCCCGCGAAAGCTCTCTGAAGGGGGGTGGGGGGAAGGGGTCGAGGGAAAGGATCTCAAGAAGACTCTATGTTGAGCACAGAGCCTGACATGGGGGTTGATCTTATGACCCTGAGATCATAACCTGACCCAAAATCAAGAATCAGATGCTTAACTGACTGAGTCACCCAGGCACCTCTGCTTTATTTTATAACACATAACAAGAACTCTGCTCTATATGCTATTCTCTGATTTCCTTCTGGCATAGAGAATATGTCCTTTAAAAGAGATGCTATTACTCAGCCACATTCTAAATGCTCTGGCTAATCCCAGCTCATGGTGCTGCGGGAAGCCAGGCCACTCACCATCTCAAAGTCCGTGCCCACAAGGCTGCTGAGATACTCCTTGTGCCGGCCATAAAGCTGAGGAAACAAACCATATGCAAACTCAAAATGCAACTCTAGCCAGACCAGGGTCAGTTCTGAATGAGAGGGAGAAAAGAAGCTGTAATGGGAAATGTCACAGACAACTGGAAGCTGAAGCATCTAAGCCACTGACATTTTAAAGTGAAGTACAGAGCCTCTGGAGTCTGCTGGTCTGGGACCCAGCCTTGGCTCTTGCACTTACAAGCCCCATGACCTTGGGCAGACTTCTTAGCTTTTCAATCTCAGTTTCCACGGTTATAAAAATGGTAATAATAAAAGCATTCGCCTCAGAGGGTTGTTGTATAGTCTCAATGAAAAAGTATGTGAAGGGCCTCGCAGAGCACGGTAAGTACTCAAACAAATGGTCATTGTTATTATTATTATGTTATAGTATGATCAAAAGTTCTTGATATGTCAGCAATGCTTCCTATGTCAGGAGAGGACCAGTAAGAAAGACCCTGCAACTATGAACATTGACCCCAAACATGATTTCAGCTCTCAGGCACCAAGGCTCATCCCTGCGCTTGGAATGAACTCGCTCTTACATCCTTGAACACACGCTGTTCCCGCTCTTCCTCCTCTGGCTGTGCGAGGGAGGATGCATTGTCCACTGTATACTTCCACACCTCCTGCTTCTCCCCCTCAGTCTCAATTCTGTAGGGTCAAAGTCACACAAAAAGACCAACTCTGGTAAGAAGAAATGTGTCTCTCCAGACCTAGCTCAGGGATGAGCCATCATTGGCCATACACCTCACTTGAAGCAAACGAGGATGAAAGTGGCCAGAATGATGAGCAGGCGAGGGAAACAAAGCAGAAAAGCAGAAGGGGCATTAAAGTGGACACACAGCATAGGTTTGGGGCCCATTTCTGTCTCAAAGTCATGGGGAAACCCTAAAGCACAACATCCTGGTACCCAGTTCTCTCACCTTGATCATTTCTAACGTATAGTTCTCTTATTGTAAGACATAGAGGTAGGAATAGTCAGGCCCAGAGGAAGCGATCTGCCTGAGCTCACCCCACCCTGTTCTGGCTGGTCCTACAGGCAGCAGCACAGAGAATTATTTTCACTTAATTACAACACTGAAGTCAGCCCTTTCAAACTGGTATAGCTGCACACTTTCCTAGAACAGAGTCCCCAGGATCTTAAGGATTTATTATAAGACAGAATATGAACTATTGGCTGGGAATTTAGAAATCAGGGCAGATGAAGGACTTTCTCAGAATCCCCTTAACTAGGGGCAATAAGTGAAGCCAAGGGAAGGAATGAATGCTCCACTCCCGCTTTTTTCTTCTCCTCACCTGTAAGGTCCTTTGAGGCCAGTGAAATCAGGTTTTACTGTGATCACACCATTGCTGTCCACCTTCAGAGTACAGAGGACATGTTCATACTTCTTATAGCCAAGTCTAGAAACCAGGAAATCAACACCTAGGTTCAGGACCGCTGGTCCCATCAACCAGAGAGGAGGAGGTAGTCGGCCCATGCCAGGGGAGAGGACAGAGGCTGTAGTGAGAATTATCATAGTCAAATACCTTCTTCTAAGCACAATCAAGAAGAAAAAGAAAAAGTACCCCCCTTCCTACATACCCCAAGGTGACTATAACAGGATAGGTGATGAATAGAGAGAAAAGAGGATCTGAGCTGGGTGGTAAGGGACTTCTCTCACTTTCCATACGGCCCAAGGTCTGCCATGATGTACATTGTCTGAAGAGGGGTGTTGATGACATGGTTGTTCCTGACAAACTCTTCTGAGGGTTCCCAGGTGACAATTCGTGACTTGAGGATGCCGCCTTCCCTGAAAGGCACCACAGGAAGCGTCAATTCCCAGGCACCCCCTGAAGAGCCTGAAGCCCGCACTTGGGAGAGCATGCCAGGGGCGAGGCCTATGCAGGATGGGGAGCTCAAGTTGGTAGACATACCCAGACACTGGCCTAGAAGGACTACAAAAGGCCCCTCCACCCAGCCCCCATGCTCATTTGCACTTACATCCCTCGCCTGTCCTGCCGTCGTCGCCTGACATTGGCCATTCGTTCGACCAAGAATGATGGCACCTCCCGGGCCGCAGTGGTCATTTTCTGACAGTGCTAGGAAAAGAGAGCAGCGCCCTGTGACCCAACTGGTCAGGGCCACATGGGATCAGGTACTGAAGGCAAGTCTTCCTTCTGAAACCTCATCTGGGACCTGAATCTAAGAGGTAAAGCCATCTCACAATTATATGTGTTGGGGAGGGGAGCAGTGGTACGAACAAGCCAAAGAAAATTCCTACCACGCCTTGGTTTGTTCCAAGATTTTAGCAGCATGTTATCCTTCAGAAATGGGTTTATTTATGCTAACATTAAATGAGTGTGTAGGGGCACCTGGGTGACTCAGCACGGAGTCTCCTGGAATTTCTCCCTCTCTCTGTGCCCCCTCCCCCTGTTCTCGCTCACTCTCTCTCAAATAAATAAATAAATCTTTAAAATGAGTCTCCAATTTCTGAGTACATACCAACCAAAAGTTGGGTAAAAACAAAAACAAAAAAAGTTGGGTGAGTGTGCCTGGTAGATGTTGACGTTACCAGGTACTTGGAAGATACCAAATAGGATACAAAGCACAGTGTGAAAAGTCTTCCCATCGGTAATTCAGCGCTAACTGTAATTTCATTTACTTTTCTAAAACAGAAAACCCAAATTTTACGTGCTACCAACCCAGAGCTTTCTTAACATTAAGCATTAATCTTTCAAAAATACTCATTTAATACCTGCTTCATGCAGAGCTACAAGGTCATAGACAAAAATCAGAAAATATGGGCTCTATTCTCAAGGAGTTTAAAAACTCCCTGGAGGGGATCCCTGGGTGGCGCAGCGGTTTGGCGCCTGCCTTTGGCCCAGGGCGTGATCCTGGAGACCCGGGATCGAATCCCACATCGGGCTCCCGGTGCATGGAGCCTGCTTCTCCCTCTGCCTGTGTCTCTGCCTCTCTCTCTCTCTCTGTGTATGTGTGACTATCATAAATAAATAAAAATTAAAAAAAAAAAACTCCCTGGAAAGAACATGTCATACGGGGACTAAGGCAAATGTAAGGGTGTGTGAGCACAGGCAAACTGCACTAAGCCACTACCCACAGCTGTACTGATTGTCTCGTCAAACCCATAGACACAGAGTTGTGGCTGCATTCTCTGATGACTTTTATCTAGATGGTTCGAGACTCCTGGTCTCTAGTCTGCAAGCCTATCATTAGATACAGCGCCAGCTCCCCTAGGCCCTCCAGCAGGTGGGCAAGGAGCAGCAGCCACACCACTTGAAGACTGTGTCCACTCTACTCCAGACTGGCTGCCAGCAGTACAAGGTAGTTCCTAGTTAGGCTATCTTAACAGGCTTCTGGTTTAATGCACAGGACCCAGTGAGGCCAGAAAGCGAGGGGAGGAAAAGAAGGAAGCTATGGGACCCCAGAAAAAACAATACCTCCTCCACATTGGTGTATCTATCAGAGTCCGTGTAGGTAAAAATCCTTCGGTTCTTCCTGCCACCAGAATCCTCCAGCTTCAGGATCTCTTGACGGTACTGATGATCCAAAGGGCTCTGACAGGCTGCTTCATTTCGGTACAGATCTACTTCAAACTAAGGTCACAGGGACACAGAGATCTACTCAGAATATGTCAAACTTTTGTTCCTGTAACTTTAGTCAAATCAGTTCTATAGAGCCGATGCAATTTAACATGTTTCCATAGCCAACTTCCATTTATCTGAACTAACAGAGGGTAGCAGATCCAAAGAATGTTAAAGCTAAGAGGAGCCAGAGTGATGGTCTAATCCAACTCTGCTATTATAGATGGCAGATTCCTTTCACCCAGAGGTGAAAAGTACTTTACCCAGGATTATAAAACTGAGTAGTCATTCACTATGTTATATTGCCCTTTAAACACAACAGAGGAGTGGGGCACCTGGTTGGTTCAGTCTGCTTTCAGCTCAGGTCATGATCTCGGGGTCCTGGGATTGAGCCCCATGTTGGGTTCCCTGCTCTGCGGGGGGTCTGCTTCTCCCTCTCTCTCTATCCCCCTGCTTGTGTTCACGCTCTCTCCCTCTCTTGTCTCTCAAATAAATGGATAAAGCCTTAAACACCCCCCCCCACACACACACACAGTGGGGGAAAGTAGAAGCTGCTATAACTTTCTGGAAATCAGTTAGGTAATATATATATCAAGAATCTTTCCCCAAGACCAGCTAGGTGGAGGTAAACTGAGTGGATAAGTGGCACTGGCTCACCTGGCTAAAGAGCTTCTCCTGCCACCCAATCACGACCTCTTCCTCTTCCTCTTCCTCTGAGCCGTGTCCACCTCCAAAGACCACAGAGTGAATCAAATGTTTGAGTCAAATCAGCACTACTTCTTGCTCTGTGAGTAGTTATAACCCAGGTCCTTGCCCTAATATTTACCACAAAACCAGCTGGAGTTTGGGGATTTATTAAGCATTCACTGTAAACAAAGGTTTGAGAGGCTGTGAATATATGTAGAAGCCAGGATTAGAACCCAAAGAGTCTTAATTACTACTCTAATTTGAATAAAAGAAGTCATGGCTCCCAGGAATTACTTAATCTAATTCAGTGTCAGGAATTAAATTCAGAATATAAACTAGCTAGCTCTTCTTCAATTCCAAATGTCAACATTTGCTAGAAAGGAGCTCTGGTGTTCTTGTCTTTGCTGTTCGAGGCCATATGTCTAGAACCACAAGCACTGCAGCCTTAGGAGACCAAGTACCAGAAGAGAAGAGGAAAGGCAAATAAATTATTATTTAAAGAACCAAATCGAATACACTGCTGGCTGAGTATGCCTTTTTGAGACACATGCTTCATAACCCACCAACTCATACTCCTGCCCAGGAGTATATCTGAACAGATAACAACAAATGCAGAGAGACTAGTGATTTAACACAAACACAGTGCCCTCCCTCACTCTTCTGGCTTCTGAGGTAAGGAAAACTACATTTGACCACAATTCGGATCAGCTCTTGATGGCAAGAACCATGTCTTACCCGATTTTCTTACACAACATAATGGAGTAGTTAAAAATGCTTGCGATCAAATCCTCGCTTCAACATGTACCAGCCATGTGACCTTGGGCAAGGAACCCAACTTCTCTATGCCTTTTCTCAGATTACAGATCTGGGCCTATTCTATCTTAAAAGTTAACTACTGCCCCAGACCCTTCCCCAGATCTCCCAGAAGCCGCATCAACACCATACACCCACTGGCAGTTGGGTGAGGCCTAAAAGTGGCCAAGTCTATGAGGTCCTTCCCAAGCTGGGCAACGGGCTGGTAACGGAGGAAGTTGCTGGATGTGATTCTTTGCAGGTGGACTCTGTGAGGAAAAGAAAAGCGCGGAATACTCATTACAAGACACATAACGTGATGATGAACACAGAGCAAAGATGGGGGTGGGGGGGGTAGGGGGACAAAAGGAAAGAGGGTGGGGCTAGCAAGGTGGGCTAGGTGCACATGAGCGCGGCCGGGAGTCTTAAGGGAAGAGTGCGGATGGAATCTGAGGAGGGCAGCCTTGAAAGGGCTTGGGTAGGCCTGGAGGCTGTGAGTGGAGGGGGCTGAGGGTAGCGAGGGAGACGCGGAGAGACCAGGGAGGCAGAGATCAGGATTGAAAGCGCAAGTGGGGACTCAGCAAACAAGAAGTGAGGTTCAGGCTCCAATTATCGGAGAGCATTAAAAGCACAGGGCTCTGGGACGACGCGACTACCGGAGGCGCAAGTTGAGCACGGGGTCCCGGGAGCGATACACAGCCTCCCCGGTGTCAGGGTTCCAGACCGTCTCCGCCATGACAGCTGCGACTCGCCGCGACAGCGCCGGAAAGCGCACCGCCCCCAGTGCCCCCTGGCAACGGGGACGCGGAGCTCAGGAGGCGGCTGGGGTGCTGCGCGCGCAACCTACGGTGCCCGGCGAGGCGCTGCGCGAAGCGGGCCCCGCCGGGGCGGAACGCCTGGACGCCGTCGGGGAGAGGTACGTGCGGGGTCACCGCCAACCACGTGTGCGACAGAGCTCGCCCACACCCAAGGTCGGATCGACGCACTTTACCAGTGAGGACACTAGAGCAGCGCCGTTGGCCACTTTCATAAAGATCCAGAAAGGGCGATGGGGACCAGACCCAGGCGACCTGAGCCCTCGACTTCGACCTGTCTCACCACACCACACTGCCTTTCGTTGAATGCGGGGGAACTTTCTCCTGAAAATCGGTGGACGTGCCTCACAGAAGGCACCCGACTTCCCAGAGGAGTCCGGGACGGCGTTGGCCCTTCCTCAGACGTGAAAAATGTATTTTTGGAAGAAAACAAAAAAGTGTCGGAAGTGTCGTTAGTCCTGGTGTTGGTGTTCACTGAGCCAGAGAAAGAAGAAACAAGGAAGCTAACAGTAAGGAAGGGAAATGTGTTATTATTGAACTGGTTTTTCCCCCTGTATGTGTTAGTTCCGGATTTTTAAGCCACCTTAGGGTACTGTACCGGCCTCCTGAAAAGGCAGCAAAGTGCTGTTCAGAAATCATGCTTCATTGGTCTATCAAAGCGAAGACAAGACGCACCATGACCTGGAGTCCGGCACCTTGGGGTACGTCAACAGTCACCAGTGTTGGACGTTTGCCACCCTCCCGAGAGAGTAAGCAGTTGTCCCCTCAACTCCAGAATCTCATGCCAGTTTGATTACCTGGCATTGGGAGCCCTGGGCAGGGTAGCCGCTGTTGTCTAACACCAAGGACTCACCATAATAGCGCCATTTATGTAGAACCTAATTCAGCCTGCTCGCTCTGTTTGCATTGGCCTGATTCTCATAAAAAACCCCTTAAGTAGGCATTGTTACTCCCTCTGAATGGATGAAGGCCCTGAAGGCCAGGGTTTAAAGGGCTTACTAAGGTTGAACTCTTCTGAATGGTGAAGGAGCTGGGATTCCAGCCCAGGTTGGTGTTTGAAGCCTGACACCTTCCACTCTGCCCTGCAGCCTCTCACCACCAGTTTATTCCATAAGAGCACACAATTTCCAACGTGGGAAATAATTATTTCAACAGATGAAACTATGAAGACAGAATACTAGCTCCTAAGAAATGGTCTCTTTAGGGGCGCCTAGGTGGCTCAATTGGTTACATGTCTGCCCTTGGCTAGGGTCCTGATCTCAGGGTTCTGGGTTCAAGCCCCACGTCAGGCTCCCTGCCTAGTGGGGAGTATGCTTCAGCTTCTCCCTTTGCCTGCTGTTCCCCCTGCTTTTTTTTTCTCTCTGTGTGTCAAATATTTTTTAAAGATTTTATTTCTTTTTTTAAAAGATTTTATTTCTTTATTCATGAGAATACACAGAGAGGAGAGAGAGAGAGGCAGAGACACAGGCAGAGGGAGAAGCAGGCTCCATGCAGGGAGCCCAACGTGGGACTCGATCCCGGGTCTCCAGGATCACGCCCTGGGCTGAAGACAGTGCTAAACTGCTGAGCCACCCGGGCTGCCCCAAAGATTTTATTTATTTATTCATTCATGAGAGACAGAGGCAGAGACATAGGCAGAGGGAGAAGCAGGCTCCCCATGGGGAGCCCAACATGGGACTCAATCCCAGGATCATGACCCGAGCCAAAGGCAGATGCTCAACCACTGAGCCACCCAGGTGCCCCACAAATAAAATCTTTTAAAAAAAGAAATATCTCTAATTTTTCCTTTTAAAGTTGTAAATAGACAACACTATGCCACATGAACAACAAATGATAAAGGCAGAGCATGAAATCAAAAGTTTAGTTTAGGGCTCCCTGGGTGGCTCAGCGGTTTAGCGCCTGCCTTTGGCCCAGGGCGCGATCCTGGAGTCCCGGGATTGAGTCCCGTGTCGGGCTCCCGGCATGGAGCCTGCTTCTCCCTCCTCCTGTGTCTCTGCCTCTCTCTCTCTCTATGTCTATCATAAATAGAGGAGGAGGGGCAAGATGGCGGAAGAGTAGGGTCTCCAAATCACCTGTCCCCACCAAATTACCTAGATAACCTTCAAATTATGTCTATCATAAATAAATCTTTAAAAAAAAAGTTTAGTTTATAGCCAAATCAAACTTATAGTGTCAATCTGACATAATTATAAGCAAAATAGGTACTATACCACATAGTATGGAAATGTAAATTATTAAAGTAACCATGATCAAATTACTTTTTTTTTTTCAAATTACTTTTTAAAAGAAATTTATTTATTTGTGAGAGAGAGAAAGGACAAACTGGAGGAGGGACAGAGGGAGAAGCAGACTTCCCACTGAGCAGGACTGCTATGGGGCTCCATCCCAGGACCATGGGATCGTGACCTGAGCAGAAGGCAGATACTTAACCAACTGAGCCACCCAGGTGTTCCAACTGAATTATTTTTATACTAATAAACTAAGTTTTTTTCTTTTCTCTTTATTTACTGGTATCTGTATATCAGGGTTCTTAAAATGTGGTCCATGAGTGAGGTTCAAGGGATCTATTAATTCTTTCCCTAGAATTTCATGGGGTGCATTTTCTGGAACAAGTTCATGGCTTTTATCTGATTCTTGAAGGAGTTCATACTGTCATATCAAGAATGATGTGCTCCCCACCACACTTATATACTGACATCTTTCTAAGAGTCATAAGTTTGGATTATACAGTATAAAGGGCAATATCCTTTGAACCGTCACCAGCAACCCTACCACCCTCATTGCCAACCAGGGTGGTTCAGAGTTGACATCAGTGTTCTCCCTAAAATAACATCATCATTTGGAGAAATTGATTTAGAAAGCACTTGTACAAGCCATCATGAAGGGTATTATCATCTCCATTTCATGCATTTATAAACCAAGATGTTAATCAAATTTCTCACAGTCTTAAGACCAGGAAGCAGAGAGCCTGGACTTTATGTAGATGTTCTGACTCAAATCTATGGCCTCTCCTTCGAATTGTGCAGCTTCCTTAGATCTCTACTCCTGCCCCAACCACTTCCCTAATTTTTTCATTCCTAAACCAGAGCAATTCTGAGCCACATCAGAATAGCCCATCATTCTTCCTTTCCCTTCCCTAGTTAGTACTTTATAGCTCACTCGGGCTGTCCTCACTATAAGACTTCAGGAAAACATTAAGAAGAAGAACATCACTATAGTTCTTCAATAACTTTTCTGGGTCCCACAGTGTCCTTACTTTGTGCCTAAAAAATATCCCTTGAACTTACCTTGGTCCCAGGAAGAGATCCTCCTGAATGAAACAATCTTATGGGGAAAAATAGGACTAACTTCTGCTTTAGTCTTTCTCTCTCCAATTTTGAAGATGGAGGAAGGGGTCGTGAAGTATAAACACTCCGATTATAAATCAGAGATTGTCAGATTAGTTTTTTTTCTTTTTTAATTTATTTATGATAGTCACACACACAGAGAGAGAGAGGCAGAGACATAGGCAGAGGGAGAAGCAGGCTCCATGCACCGGGAGCTCGATGTGGGATTCGATCGCAGGTCTCCAGGATCGCGCCCTGGGCCAAAGGCAGGCGCCAAACTGCTGTGCCACCCAGGGATCCCTGTCAGATTAGTTTTTTAATAAATCCAACTATATGCCGCCTACAAGGAACCCACTTTGAATATAAAGATAGTTTAAAACTGAGAGGAGGGCAGCCCAGGTGGCTCAGCTTACGCCGCGTTCAGCCCAGGTCATGATCCTGGAGTCCCGGAATTGAGTCCCATGTAGGGCTCTCTGCTTGGAGCCTGCTTCTCTCTCTGCCTGTCTCTCTCTCTCTCTGTCTCTCATGAATAAATATTTTTTTTAAAAAATCTGAAAATAAAAAAACTGAAAGGATGGAAAAAGATCTACAATACAAAGTAATCAAAAGAAAGCTGGAGTGGCTATATTCATAACAGACAAAATAGGGGCGCCTGAGTGGCTCAATGGTCTAGCGCCACCTTCAGTTCAGGTTGTGATCCTAGTGACCTGGGATCGAGTCCCACATCCGGATCCCTGCGTGGAGCCTGCTTCTCCCTCTGCCTGTGTCCCTGCCTCTCTCTCTCTCTCTGTGTGTGTCTCTCATGAATAAATAAATAAAATATTTTTAAAAAACAGATAAAATAGGCCTCAAAATGAGGAATATTAGCAGAGATAGAGATATATTTTGTAAATACATATTAATAAGTGCAATTTATCAAGAAGACATAGGAAATCTAAATGTTTATGTACTTAATAACAGAGCTTCGAAGTACATGAAGCAAAAAATTGATAGAAATGAAGGGAGCAATAGGAAAATCCACAATTGGGAAGCCTGGGTGGCTCAGTGGTTGAGCGCCTGCCTTTGGCCCAGGACGTGATCCTGGAGTACCAGGATCGAGTCCCACGTCGGGCTCCCTGCATGGAGCCTGCTTCTCCTTCTGCCTATGTCTTTGCCGTGCTCTCTGTGTGTTTCTCATGAATGAATAAATAAAAATCTTTAAAAAAAAAAGGAAAATCCACAATTATAGTTAGAGATATAATACTTTTTTCTTAGTAAATAATAAAATATGTGGGGAGAAAACCAGTAAGTTTATAGAAGGCTTGAACAACATCATCACCTCTGAAAGAAGCAAAATGGAACTTCTTAGGCACCTCTGGGCTAGGGAACACCCATCAGCCAAGAGCAATCCTGAGATAGGTGTGCATGTAAGCAGTTGACAGTCAATATGCTCAGCAGCTGGTCAAGGGGACCAGGGCAGGGCACCAACAGCATCCGTTATAAGTAAGTTTGAGGGAGGTGATCCTAAGAAACACTGGTATGGGAGTGGGGCTAAACCTAGGCCAACTTACTCAGGCCATCCCTATCTTTCCCTAGTCTCTTCCAGGCAGTGTACCCACGGGTGGAATAGGT